TATGTGAGGGACATATTATTGACAGGATATCATGTTGTTTCCCCAGGTTTGTTTTTAATTTTGAAGATTTTAGATTTTCATTTGTAAAAGTTTCATTATAAATTATATGTCATCTGTCATTTTCTTAAAGCTTTGCATATCTAATAAATCACATTTAAATAATTTTCATTATAAGGTCCTGCAGCTACTTTTCCTTTTTATAATGCAGCCCAAATAAAATCAAAGGTTTTATTAATCAGTGTCTCTCTCAATACTGTCATTTCTACACTTCCAGATCCAGCAGTTGAACTTGAACATGCCTCTATCTTTTCCACATTGTCTGCTTTCTTGTAATAATGATAAAACAATGCAATATAAGAGCAATGCATACTAGTTCAATTAAAATGTTACAGTAGTCACAAACTGGAAAAAAATATCAGATAACTTCCTCCCTGAAAAATATCCTGAACATTCATAAATGACACCCAGTTGAGTCTTGACAATTTACTGATCTAGATAAAACACTGAGGTTCTTCACAACTAACTGCACATTATATTAATATACAATTCAACTGTATAACATCCTGTATAACATTGATCAAATTAACCATCATACACCAGAAAATTGAATGAAGTACCCATGGCCACCTACATAATTTGCAGGGCCCAGTTCAAATGAAAATGTGGCACCTTGCCTGGAACTGGGTAAGTCAATCCTTTCCAAAGGCCCACGGCCCACCCATGGTGGACAGGTGACCCCAGGTGAAGTGTGGCAGCAGTCACGGGATAAGGGCAGAAATGGGGAAGCCAGGTGACCCAGAGCACCAAGGGGTGTCATGGAATAAGCAGCTGAAAAGCTATCCCAGGGCGGCAGGGCGGCCATGCGAGGCAGGGTTGCATGTGAGCCAGGGCTCCAAGCCCCCACCCAGCACAGGCTCCGCTGGCCCATCTGCCTTCACTTGCAAAACACAAATTCAAAGATAAAATTATTAAGAATTTCGAGATGATGACCACAGCACATTAAACTCCAAGCATGGGACCCTTCTGAATGGGGGGCTCTGAACAACTGCACTGGTTGCACCCTCACGAAGCCAGCCTTATCGATGCCAGTGAACAAAAGAGCAAACGATCCGTTCCTGGCCAACACATCCATCTCACAGGGCTAGTCCTCGCATGGCCAGTCAGGACAGCTGCAGGATTTTTTGCAGGATGAAGAATATCTGATGCATTCTCATAATCTTTTTTTTTTTTTTTATCTCTTCATGACCCATGTACCTTGTCTAAGGGCTTCTCTCTTTCAGGGCCTGTCCTCCTGAGGTGGGAAGTGTAAGGAAAGGTAGCCTGGTATGGCAGCAACAACATGACCAGGAGCCAGACAACCCTGGCCGCCTCCTCTACCAGTCCACACCTTGGGTACATCCCTTCATCTCTGGGCCTCCTCTGCTTCCTTACTATTTAATTCCTCATGTTATAATGTTGGCTTCCTTATTGTTAATTATTAATGAAAGGGTTAAACTAGGTGACCTTTCACATATCCTCCAGTTTTGTTTCTGGGAGAAGAGGACAACACAAATAGGTGTTTGGAAAAAAGCATTTGACCTCTTAACTGTTTTATCTCCATTTTCAATGGACTTGTGGTAATCAATAAACTCTGATTCATCAAAGCCATATCTGAACTGTTTGGAGTGATGTTAAAAGCCAAAGGAAATGAGGCATGAGTGATGTGACGCGTAGGCAAAGGAGGCCCTCATCTCCTTAACGCCTAGCAGCAGATGGGTTAATTCTATAACCCTAGATTTTTAAATAACAATAATTAGCACCTGAGACAAGTTCTTTTATCTGAGGTGCTCAAAGGGCTTTGTGGTCATTAACTCATTAATTCACCTGCCTCAAGCTGTCAGGAGGCACCTCCTTGGAAGACAAGCTTGCCAGCACATCACAGCAGTGGGGAATGACCACGACTAACTAGCTGGAAAGGGGTGGGAGGGGGGACGAGGCCACCAAAATAATTCTCTTGTAAGAATTAAATGGAAAATCCTCTGTTGTTCTACTGACAGCAATTTAGCCGCTCACTAGACTTTTTGAATGAAATCTCATGAATGTCACATTTCATCACCTAGAAAATCCTTTTATTCTTTAATGTAAACCTTAGATTGCTTTCACAGCTTCCGTCTGACCACAGATATGCCTGAAGCAAGTAAAGGGGAGAACGCTGCTCCCTAGAATGTTTTTCTCTCAAAGGAAAAAAACAAATGGATTTTTGAAGTTAAGGCATCTCTAAAGATAGAACCCTACTTCAGCATGATTTTGCCTGGGGTTTCTTAAGGTCCTAACTTATTTGCAGGTGATTTCCATTAAAAAGCATCTGCTGGAAAACCACACTGCTGAAAAACACCTACACAGGGCCTGGAATTCTAGAATTAGAATCTTTCAATTAAACAATCTGTCCACCAACTAGGAGGTGCTCCACTCAGGGCCAGGTGCTATGGGGGCACAAAATGTGGAACCTGACCCCCAAGCAGCTATAAATCTAATCGAGGGAATGCGACTAATACAAATAAATTAATAAATTTATTTATTATTTTTAAATTCATTTATTTCACTTATTAACTAATTAATTAGTGCAAATAAAATAGGCAGAAAATATGGTTTTCATAATCTTGCACAGCACAGACCCTACGTGTTTTTGAGTTCACAGTGGGAGTTGATGAATGTGAGGGCTCAAGTGATCAGGGAGGCAGGAAAACTTATAGAGGAGATAAGATGAGCTAGATCTTAGAGGTAGGGGAAGTATTGGGGCAGGAAACAGGATCAGTGGGAATAAAGCACAAAGGATAAACAGGAATAAAGCAAAGGCAATTGAGGTCAGGGACAACATCTAAGAGAAGGTGAGCAGATGGGAGCTTGTTGCTTTGCGAGGCAGTGGGAAAACCAACCCAGATAAATCACAGGGCCAGGAGACCTGAAAGAAATATGGGTGGACGAGAAAGGTAGGGCCAGACCAAAAGTGTCTTGAAACCAAACTAATAGGTACTGATTTGGAGTCTTCAGAAATCCTGTCGAAATGCAATATCCAGGTCACAGGGACGTAAAGTACAGCACAGGGAATATAGTCAATAAGATGGTAATAACTATGTACAGTGCCAGGTGGGCACTAGACTAGTCAGGGGGACCAGGGGATCACTTCATAAACTATATAGATGTCCACCATGCTGTATACCTGAAACTAATATAAAACGATATTGAATGTCAACTGTAATTTAAAAATTAAATTAAAAAAATAATAAATGCAGAATCCAGGAAAAGAGCCAAGACGGCGGTGGTAGAGAGGTGGCGAGAGGGCCCACAGTCAGTATAGGCAGAACACGGTACTACGTGCTCGATTATATGTCAACACAGGAGAAAAGGAATATAGCACAGCACTATCAGCTGGTAACTTTCAATTTTGAGTTCTATCTTGGGCTCTGGGAATGCCTCAATGGAATGAGACCCAGAACAAGTTCATTCTGATGGGGATGAGGAGAGGAAGTATAGAGGAAAATTATACCAAAGCCCGCACTTGATGGACACCCAAGACCTGAGGAAGGACATCCAAGGGAGAAGAAAAGAGAATAGTAGAGTAGAGAAGACGAACTTCCCCTAATTCACAATTTTGCCAACCACTGGCCCTTTTAATGCACATACCCTTCTTTTCTGGCCCAGTAAAACTCTTATTCCTTTGTTGAATGGATGCTCCTTTGGATCTCATGATTAAAATCAAGATGTGAAGAAGACTCTAGAGATGGCTTTTTAGAGGGTAGGTCAGAAAAATGAAGTGTCTTCATGTAAGGCTAGCTGAGGACCTCCCATAGCTTCCGGAACTCATTGGAGTATATGGGGAGGAAGGTGTCTTTCCTAAATTCACACCCCCTCAAGGACCTCCCTAAGGTTACGGTGCCTCTAGTTATCAGTAGAATGGAAAATAATTGTTCTCACCAAAGAAACCTCTGTAGAAAAGCTGCTGTGAAACTGGAATAGGTGTGTCTTTCTGACCTTCCGGTTCTTTTTATAGGCACTGCAGGAATCTGAGTGAGGGCCTCCAGTCCTTCCGCCCATTTGGGGAGAGAATAAAGAAGCTGAGGTTGTCTCCTTCTTACTCATTGGCAGTTACAACCTTGCAGCCACCACAGCCTCAGCTTCCAGCGTGGACACAGAGAAGGTAAGTCAGAATGAAGGGGCCATGCCCTCAGCTATAAAACTGGGTCACTCCATCCATCCAGCTTGGGAATAACTGAAGAGGAGTAGAGCTAGGAATATTCAATCGCAAGGTACTTTTTTCCAAATGAATATGTGGAATTGTTTTCCTAGGCAACCTGTGTTAAGACATAGATTTTGGTGCTAAACTGTCCAAAAAATTATTTAGTGTTGGTGGCTTAGTGGTGAGCATAGCTGCCTTCCAAAAAATTATTTAAAGGCGGGGACCATGTTGTATACTTCTTTGGTGAACAAATACTAGGTATTTAATAATAACATTATTGACTTGAATTAAAAGAAGGAACGGTCATTAGAATGACTAGGAAAAATCACCTGCCTGTCTCCTTCAAGCAATACATCAGTGTCTTGAATGATCTAATGATCCTTTGATGTTGCCAGCCTTTGTTATGAAGCCTAGCATAACTAGAATCCCATCAGTCATGCAAACCTTGTCTCACATGTCATTTTACGAAAAATAGTCTGCATTAGGCTTCAAAAAGCCTTGGTGGAAACTGTGATATGAAAATGGATCAATTATCTGGAGCCCCCAAGTGAAGACTGATCTGCTTTTCCCAGCAGGATGGAGCTGGGATAGTTTTGAGGGTGTGATAGTTTTGAGTTATCTTATTCAGTATGTCAAGTTGTCTTCATTTGGGACTCAGAGGCAGTGTAGTGCCCTGCGCATACCCAATAGGCATTTGTATGGTAGATGTAAAGTCGTAAGTTTGTCTCATGTTTTTCTGCAGGGGAACAGCAGTCCATTCTCGTGAGGTCCACGTACAGTCACCATGTATGAGGACTGTGTCAAGACCACTGAGGACTATTATTTCCTCTGTGACACAGAGGGGCCATGGGGCATTGTTCTGGAGTGCCTGGCAATAATCGGCATAGTGGTTACAATTATTCTGCTCTTGGCATTTCTCTGCCTCATGCGAAAGGTTCAAGACTGTGGCCAGTGGAATGCCCTCCCTACACAGCTCCTCTTCCTCCTGGGTGTGCTGGGGCTCTTTAGCCTTGCTTTTGCCTTCATTTTCCAGTTCAATCAGCAAACTGCCCCTGTGCGCTACTTTTTCTTTGGGGTTCTCTTTGCTCTCTGTTTCTCATGCCTTTTGGCTCATGCCTCCCACCTGGTGAAGCTGGTCCGGGGTAGAGTCACCTTCTCTTGGACAACAATTCTGTTCATTGCTATTGGGCTCAGCCTGTTGCAGACGATCATTGCCATTGAGTATGTGACTCTCATAATGACCAGAGGTATGATGTTCGTGCACATGACACCCTGTCAGCTCAATGTGGACTTTGTCGTACTCCTGGTCTACGTCCTTTTGCTGATGGCCCTCACATTCTTCGTCTCCATAGCCACCTTTTGTGGCCCATGTGAGAACTGGAAGCCACATGGGCGGCTCATCTTCCTCACTGTGCTCATCTCCATCATTATCTGGGTGGTGTGGATCTCCATGCTCATGAGAGGCAACCCACAGCTCCTGCGGCAGCCCCAGTGGGATGATCCTGTCATTTGCATTGCCCTGGTCACCAACGCATGGGTTTTCCTGCTGCTATACATCATCCCTGAGCTCTGCATTCTCTACAGATCGTGTAAACAGGATTGCCCTTCACAAGGCAACGCCTGCTCAGTCCCAGCCTACCAATGCAGCTTCAGAGTGGAGACCCAGGAACTCTCAAGAGGTACATTCCCGTGGGGGGGTTGGATTCAGGGAGCAGGGAGGCTCTCCTGTGGGGGAAACAGGAGAGAAGTAGGGTAACAGGATGAACCCAAGAGGGAACAAAAAGGGAATAGTCAGAATTTAGTGGATGACTAAGTAGTTCACACATGGAGATGAAGACACCCAGAATCAAGGTTAAACTTTTATGAAAAATTAGCTCTTCCAAAATACAGAGACTGATAGAGCAAGAGCAAGACAGAAATGAATCAAAGGCCTTAAGTAAAGAGGGTGTGGCACTGAGAGCTCATGCTGGGTAAAGAAAGGCGCCCACTATAAAATGAGTTAACCAGCCCCAAATTAGGCTTGGACCATGCAATTGCATGACATATAATGCTAAGTCCAGATGGTTTGGCTGTCAACTACAAAAGTCAATCCTGGCAACAGTGATTGACATTTTAAATTTTAAGTCTCAGCGTTAATTTGCACAAACATCATAATAAACTGATTTGTAGGACTCATCACCTCATTAAAGTCACAAAGCCCAATAACTTCTAGATTTCTGCTTTTCAAACTATTCACTGCTTACAACCCTTCAAGGTCTACAAAAAGCAACAGGAACAGCCATTAAATCAGAGCCCTGAGTAAAGGCACAGATGTATAATCATTAATAGAAATAAAGCAACTTGCTTATGTGACATTTTCATAATAATTTCTAGGTCATGCTGTTATCCTTATGTAAGACCAAGCCACCTGACTACACTTTGTGAAAGAATACAATATGTTATCCATTTCAGTAAAGAGACTTTGGCCCCAACAACCTGGAGAAAATAGTGGCTAATTTCAGCCATCTGGAAATATGTCAAAACTAATGACACATTCCTTTCTGAAACATCTGGCCTATTCTTCATAACTAAATATCATAGTTGTACATCAATTTTTATGTCTTAATAGGCATCTGATTTCTCACATTATTTCTAATGTGCAAAGATGATGCTATTTTATATATTATAGAGCATGCACAATGTTTACTTGGCTCAAAAAAATTAATAGAAGCTTTCCTTTCAAATGAATACACTTTTTTGAGTTGTAATCTATGGCTAATTACACATTCAAATTAAATCCTGTTCAGATAGATGCATTCATTAATTCTTTTCAGTTCAGTTAACAGAGAGTCGGAAATTGATACCATATATCCTTCCTATAACAGTTTTTCTTTGCTTGCTGATGATGTGTGATCAGATCACTGAGGTTTGTGGCAGAATTGCAGAGTCAATCTTTCCTGAAACTACTTCTCATATTTCTGACCAAAAAATAGGATAAAACTTCCCATGTTTGCTTTATTGTTCTCTGTTTCCAGGAAACAAAAGTCAGAGAGAGAGAAGAGAAAGTTCTTAGAGTTTCATAATAACTCAAAGCACACTGGGATTCATAATGATCAATATTCCATACCCCAAAAATATTAGGCAAGTGTTTAAACTGTTCTAAGGAGTGGCTTAGAAGGGCAAGTGTTCACAAAAGCACCATGTTTCCTGGTACTATCCTTATTACTCGAGCATGGTTAGAAAATCCATTTATGAGCAAGAAATAGCCTGTCGGTGATAGTCATTGTCCATGTAGTGTGATATTGGGGGGGAGGGGGGAATCAGTACTATAGTAAAGAATACATAGGTTGCGCTCCAAAATTGGGCAGAATAACCAGAAAGTTAAGCTTAGAGAATGGAATCAGAATTTAAGTCACTCGGAAAGAGTACAAATATCAAAAATTGGAAGAATGACTAGAACAATAAAAAGTATAGGCTTACACCTCGCTGGGAAAAACATACAAAGAGACACAAAATAGGTAAGAGCCAGACAAGTACACTATAATAATAATTACTTGAAAAATCATAAACGTGTTGTCGTTTATGAGCTGTCAGTGAGAAAGCAGCTTACCACTGTCTGTGTTTTTGTTTGCTCAAGAAACAATCACCGTACTATATAAACAGACATGTGGTCAGCAGGAATAATCAGGCCATTGTGCTCAGCAGCAGCCAGTCTCTAGCAAGAATACCCTTTCCGGTTCCAGGGTCCACTAATGAAAAGTGTGGGGAACTTGGAGAGGTTTCGGTGGGAAACCACCAAGATGATGAAAAGAGTTATAACGTCAGACCTATGTAGAAAGGTGAAGACAATAAAACTGAGATGGTAGTTCGAAATGTGCTTTTTTCATAGACTATTTAAATTCTCTCTCTCTAAATTCTGTACTACAACATGACATTTTGTATGAGTCCATGAGGCATGCACTTGTCATGCGATTCTTCTGATTAATACTGTTTGTAGCTATGACTCCAGTCACATAATTATTTGATTTATCACTGGGTTGTGGGACCAGAATTATTACACTGAAAGAGGAGTAAAACAAGAGGACTAGCAGAGAATTTCGCAAATATAAAGACCTCTGTCCAAGAAGCTGTTGTTCTGTTATTTTCTGTTCTCCAACTGAAGACAATGGGGAGAAATGAACTCAAACCAAAGCATGAGGAATTTAGATTAAATATGAACATAAGAGTTAATAAATACTAAAACAGCTCAGCAAAGAAGATTAAGGACTCTATTTCCCTGGAAGTCTTTCAAAAGGAGATTAGACTTTATCTCTCTGAAGTGGCTTATGGACTTAATTCCAAGATACAAAAAACACCCAGGTGGAAAATGAAAATGCAATCAGGCATGTTACTACAGGACAGCAAACAATTGGGTATAAATATTCTTTGCCCTGTGTTATAAATGTGTTCCTAAAAAGCTGTGTATTGATTGACCTTTAAAAATTAGTTGCTCTTTTAACTGAGAATTTTAAATGTGATATAATTTGCAGAGATCTTAAACATAGTAGACTATCAGCCCTGAATCTTCTTTTTTTATGACAGGAAATCTCCTGTTCTAATTATTGCCTACTTTATCTGTTTTAGACTAATTAGAATATTGTTATATCAAGTTTGCCAAAAGCAACACCCATGTATATTTGAAAGTATCACATTATTGTGGGCATTTTTCTGTCTAGTGTTTGAATGTGTACAGACAAACCTAGTATGATTCTACTTGAAGGTATTAAGACTAAAATAATGAGTCTATGTAATGTAAAAATGGGTCAATGACTACAAAATAATATGAATCAAGAGAAAAATGTTTCTGCAAACATAAGCCCTTTGGGTTGTTTTCCTTATAGCAAATACCAGCTTTTGCTGATCATATCCCTTTTTGACAATTCTCAATACTTTTTTTCTCCAAGGCACCCACCCACCTTACTACAAGAAACCAAATTTGAATGGTCCCAGGGGGGATGTGGTTTTTATTTGTTCTTTCATGGAAACAAATTGCAAAATCACTCTGTTGTCACCCTCCAGAGATACAGGTCACACAGAGAGAACTGTATAAAGTAGAAAAGAAGACAGTGAGTCTGGTCAGAGCTTGTTTGGTCTGAGGACAGATTAGGCAAGAATAATGACATTCATAAAGATTTAGGGAGCATGAAATAATTGAGTCTGAGAAAGAGTACAGAATCTGGCCTCACATACCCTGACTTTGGGGCTCAGCTCTGCTTCTTACCAATTTTGAGAGCAAATGAAGCTCCTTAGCCTCTAGAAGATCAGGCTCCTGGTTTTAAATGATGGTTATATTGTCCCTGCCTCCTCCCCGTAAAAATGTAAGTTCTTACTCAATTCAGATTTCATACCATGAAATCTCTCTCATACAGAGAGAAAAACACTCACTCAGCCTTTCATGAACAATAACGAAAGCTGGAAAATTAGGCTTCTCTAATTTATGATCTGGTCTAATGAGAATGTTGGATGAACGTTGGTTACCAAGGGGCTAAATATGAAGGAGTCTGGTCACGCCACAAGGAACAAAGTTAAACCAAAAAATTCATTTCATTCTGCTGTGAAGGAAAGAAGAACATTTCATATTTCACAGGATCCAACCCCACTAAAAAATGCCCAAAGGAGGAAGATGTCAAAGTTTAGATTATAACTATACCATCAGCAGCAGCACCACAGATGATAATAAACAAAGGATAACACTATGGTGTTTTCTATATATATCATGCCTTATCCCAAGGGCCTTATATATATATTAATTGATTTAACCTTGAAAATGATGCCATGAAACAGATTTACTGTTAGGGTCATCATGATCCTTCTTTTATTCACACCAGGAAGCAAAGACAACAAAAGCTTAAGGAACTGGTCACACAGCTAACCAGTGTGACAGCAGAGCTATCCTGCTCCAATGCTAGAGCCACTAAGTGTGAACACTAGTGACACAGCTATATCTGTGACCATCAAACAATACATATGTATCGAGCAAGGGCCTTAGAGACAAACACAGCTCCTGTCTTCATATTGCTTAGTCCTGTTGAGGAGACAGACATTAAACAAATAGCCACATGTGTCATATTCTATGACAGCATAAAATTGCCTTTAGGGATTTTTATATTATGTCAAATCAAAATTTGTAGATTATCCAGACTAAAGGGACTTCAGAGAGCATATAGTTAAGGCCTTCTATGCTGTTGAAGACGGCGAGGTGCCCATGGTCATGCAGGATTCTGAGAAAGCCAAGGCTCTAACCAGTCGAGGATGACTCTTCAGCCTCTTCCATTACTAAACAGAGATGTGCTTCTCCTGACCACACAAATGCTATCCATATACAACCTTCCTCATAAGCTTTAAAAACACTCTTTTTTCAATCATAGATTTTTTTTAAATTTTTTTTTTTTTTAGAACAACCTCAGTGGAGAATTCCTTTTTAAAGGCTCAAGAGCCTCTTTGCAAGCCATTGAGTCTTTTCATAGTCCTCGTGTGCTGTCTTCAGGTGAATCTCTGGCACTAACCCATCCCTTCCCACCTTTGGCTTTCAGCCCGAGACAGTGATGGAGCTGAGGAGGATGTAGCATTAACTTCATATTCAGCTGCAGGTAAATGTGCTCATCTGCATTCACCAAGGAGGGCCATAGCAGGCACCCTTGCCTTAGGACAGCACTCAGGCTTCATCTCCAATGGCTTTTACTGACCCAAGAGAGGAGAGATCGGGCAGGGTGATCGGGACAGGCATGTGGAGCTGAGCCATCCAGATTAAACCATACCAGGGCAGTGCAATAAAGGCAAGTCATGCCTTTTGTCTCTGCCTGAGCCCCTCCCAATCCCATTGTCACTGCCATCAACAATATATTCTGATGCAGGGGAATGTCCCTGGAAAGAAAAAATAGCTTGAAGGGTTTGTTTGAGGGTGAAGAGAAGCAAGCTCACTACTTTTTGCCTTGGGCACAACAGGGGATTGTAAATATGTATGAGTGTTGGATCTGTTTTTCCTATCAGTTGTCTAAATGTATCCCCTGAGCCACACTGGATATCTCTCTGAGTCACTGTCTAGCTCCAGCTGCCCAGGCTGCCCCAAGAGTTGGACTAGGTCTGTCACCATCATCTGGATGCCCAGACGAGTGTACCAATTTTAATCCTTTCGGGCAAAAACAGAGGGAGCTGTGCTGAGCAGAATTGGAGGCAACTTGGCATTTGTGCCATGATGGCTTGAAGGCACACAAATCTGAACAGCCAAAAATACCACAATTGGGACACAATTTTTGTATTATGGGGATCAGAAGTAACTAAAATCCAAGAGTGAAAGTCATGCTCAGATGGTTCTTTCAATGAACTGTACTAGGTAACTCTAACTAGGCTAATCCCTCAGGTCTGTTATCTGAGATTTTGCCTTTTCCTGGAATGACACACAAACCAGGACATAGCTATAATCATTTGCTGTAATTAACTCTCTGGAGGGCATTTACACAATAGGAAAATCTTTATTATCCCTTCCAAGAATTTCTTGGATTACTTTCAACTTCCAGTGATCAGCTATTCAAGAATCTTGCAAAAAGATTCATATTACTGGCTAAGGGGGAAGATGGCAAAGAAGATCCGATATGGGTTGGCTCAATTTTTTTCTTTTTTTAATTAGCAAAGGATTAAATGATGGTGAAAAGATAATATGTCAAACAGTTCTGGAGCATATCATCCCCTGTGTTGGCTCAGAAAGTTCATGATGGCATTTCTTCCTTTCCAGACTGTTAATCCTGCACAAGAGTATTTCCACCCATGGGCCCCCAGCAAGACACAGAATTACAAAGTCCACAGGAAACACGAGAAATGAAAACCCAAAAGACCACCCTAATTTAGCCCTGCCAACAAAATATCAGCTCATCCTTTTTTCTCTGCTTCCTGGTTCTTTCCATCCATCTGGACCCTTCATGAGAAGACTGCGCTTTCAAGCACAATTACAATCTCGCTGGCCATCTTACTTTGGCTGTGTGTCTCTTTCTTCATTCATGTAATTCAAAGGTCTCCTTCCTTAGGAATGCTAGATCAAATTGACCCCTCTTACCCATGGGACTTTGGTCTGAAGAAATTAGGGCCATGCTAATATGACAAAGTCTAGAGGTCAGTAGCAACTCACTATTGATTTACTCTTCTGGCCTTTTTTTATAAAGAGCCCTAAATATGAGTGACCCAGCATTTGCAATAAAAGTTATAGCAGAACCCTCAGGATCCCCAAACTGGGCATTTTAAATAACACGAACATTTCAAGGACTTGCAAACTGACAGGCTTTCTCCCATGATGTTTGCACCCCATGACAGCCAGTATGACTACAGATGTGGCTGAGGTCAGCGACCTGCTTTGATGAACCCATAACAGCAAAGGAAGAGCCGCCCCAATTGATGCTCATAAAGGATTTTAGGTGGTGCACATAAAAAGCAGAGTCTGTCTGTCTTGATGTTTCTAATGAACTGATGCCTCTGCACTAACTACTTTGCCTCCATTCCTCATGCAGCCCTGCATCCTTCCCCATGGATTCTTATGTTCTGAATACTCATTCATTATATGTAAGAGGTACAACAGGACCAGGGTCACAGGTGTGCTGCCAGAAGGGGTCTTATGGTCTAATTCAGCCCTCCCCTTTGCAGATGAGAAAACAGAACCTTGGTGAAGTGGAATGACCTGCCCAAAGTCACACAGTAGTTAGTGGTGGGCCAGGTCTTCCAACTCGTAGACCACTCCTATTTCCACTCCAGGGGGCTTCTCCATGCCTGTATTTCTGTGTTAACGAGTAAGGCATGCACCCCGAGAAACAAATATATTTCCGATCAATGAATGTTGAGCTCCTGCTATGTGAAAGCACTTTGAAAAATAGCTAAGACTCCCTACATGACAAAAAGCCTTTTTAATGACCAATGTACAGCATAGATTGTTCAATATCAGTGAGTATCTCCTGAGCACCCGGAAGGTACCAGGAGCTGTTCTCAACCCTAGGCAGACAAGGCAGACAACGCTGCTTCGGTGAAGCCTAATTTGGGGGGGGGGGGTGTCGAATAACACAATGCAGAGAATTTCATGAACACAACTGCTTCCTTTTACAGACAAGGGAAAGGACTTGCCTGGGATAACACTGTTTGTTAGTGACAGAACCAACTAGAATCCAGGTTCCCAGTTGCTGTTCAAGTGTTCACCCTCTATACAATGTTCCATTTTCATATATTTTTCTGCTACATTCAAATTGGCTGCTCCTTTTTGAAATCTGTGCCCTGAGCAATGTTCTCAACACAAACCAGTACCAAGGTAAATGACCAGAGTTTTATCTTCTGCCCTTCTTGGTAATAAAAAATTGAGAGATGTTTAAACATGAAAACTGACCTATCGATTAGGTGGCATACTACTTAACAAACTATATAAAGAACCTAATTTGAAAGGGAGTAGCAAGCCATGCAACCTCACTTTTGCTCTGGAAGAAAACTATCATCACTGATCCTCCTAGATTTTAATCCCAAAAATGATGACAGTGACACTGTCAACATAATTTTGTTTTGTTGTTTTGTGTTTTGTTTTGTTTTGCAGGCAGGAGATGTTTCTGTTGAGTGGGGTGACAAATTTTAATAAATCCTTTGAGGCCATATACAATGGCTAATATTGGGTCATCAGGAAAGTCATGATGTATTTTTCTATGTTTTTCAATGCAAAAATGCTTCATGACTTTCCCAACGACCCAATATCATTTCCCAAAATGTTTTTCCTAAATTACTGAAGGTGAAATTAAACTTCTTCGTACCAAATTGCCTCTGAAGTGTATAGCACAATTTTACCAAATTTTGAACTATGTATTAGCTAGATTTGGGGGGTTGTAAGGTTACAAGTGTTTCATTCAGGCTGTTTCAAGAATGAGGTTATATTATAAGGTTACACACAGCAGCAAGGAGACAAAACTCTCTCTGGGAACCCAGTACAGCCACTTATCTGGCTTCATGGAGATGGAATACTGTCAGGCATTGGGAGGAGCTTATGGTCCCCTGCTCTGGCCCCACAGTCCCCCTTAGTCACTTTGACACTTTCTTCATTGTCTCAATTTCCTTTCGTGGTATTTTCTCGTATCCATCCACTACCAGCTAACTGATTCTCTTTCCATATGTAATAAGTCAGATTTCTGAGAGGGGGTCTGATTGGCTCAGCTAATCTCCACTGTCTGTGATTGGGAGCTCTTTTGCATCAGCCCTCCTCTTAATTTACAATCAGCTTGTGGATTGACTACCTTTGAGTCCAGTAGCAATCATTGGTCCATTCAGCTGTGCCTGGCTTAGTCATGTGGTACAGACTTGGTCACATATGTCTGCTGCCTTAGTGAGAATCTATGGGCAGATAATTATCCCCCAGGCAGCAGAGGAAGGCATAGCATGTACCATAAGTGACCAGCTCAGGAGAAATTAATCTAGGAATATGTAATTTTATAAAATTATAGAATATTTTAATGAAAATACAATTTTTCTTTTGAGTTTATGGAACAATTCACATAAATGTAAAAACCCCAGTAGTCTTCTAAGTTGAGATCCATGAGAAACCGCTTTAAATAATAGATAAAACTATTTATGATTAGTATATTGTACTCAGTTACTCAATTCAGCAAGTAGTATTTGAAGATCTAAACTCATTAACTTGTATGTGATGGGCTACCAAATTTGAATGGTACTTATCCTCTTAAGTATTTCAGATAGCCCTCTTCTGATTTTATTTATCTGATTTTATTTATTTATCCCAAAAAAGGGAATGAAAAACATTATAAAATGCCTCCTGTGCTCGCTTCGGCAGCACATATACTAAAATTGGAACGATACAGAGATTAGAATGGCCCCTGCACAAGGATGATACACAAATTCGTAAAGTGTTCCATATGTTTAAAAATTAAAAATAAAATAAAATGCCTCCTGGTATAACATGGATGGTTAGCTCAGTTAAAGCATGGTTCTAATAAAATTCCTACTCAGGTAGAGTTAATATATACTTCACCTGGATGATTTTTTCCAGTTTCAAAGAATATCAAAGATTTGTTTCCCTCCACATTAAATTTCATAACCTCCTCATAAGCCTAAAGGGCTTCTACTTATCATGCTTATTTCAACCTGTAGTCTGGTCAGGTTAAATGTTCCTCATTCTCTCTACCCATTATTACTTCTTCTTTCTTCTTTTAAACAAATGGTCCCTTTTCCTAGGATTATATCTACTTTATATTGGCCAGATTCATGCCTTTTTTATCCTTCTTTTCCTCCTTTCACAATTAATTCCAAATCTACCTTTTCCCAGAAAGTTTATCTGATGAAGTGGACCCAGGATTGTCACACACCAAGACCAACTTAACTTTATGGCAAAATGAAGTCCTCTTTTTTTTTCTTCAATCTTAGATGGTAAACAAGATACTTCTATAGCATCTTTCTTGGAATAAGCCTAACCATCTATTTTTAAACCACACAATTAATAAGAAATAAACTAGAAAATCTATTTTGTTTTCTTCGTACAAAAGACTCTGTATTTTGCACTGGAAGGAGGTGCTTCTCAATTAACATTAAATGGGAGTGATCTTGAAAACCTTGACTTTTGAGAAGTAATGCTTGTCCTCTGAGTAAAGAAAGGCTTTCTTTTTTTTTTTTAAGATTTTTTTTTTACTGGGGAATTGGGGGATGGGAACAGCACTGGGGAATTGGGGGAAGGGGAACAGACAAGTTGCTGTCCCCTTGTTCTTCAGTCCAGCTGTGGAGGACATCACCCCACTGGCCCAAGTTGGCACCATCATTGCGCTCTTCCCGGGCGAGGCAGATCAGTTGCCAGCCCCTGGACGGCTGCTCACAGCGGCTGCTGGCCGCTCACACTGGCTGCCAGCCGCTCACACTGGCTGCCAGCCACACACGGTAGCCCATGGCAACCCACTGCAGCAGGGGCTGCAGCCTACGCTGTCGTCGGAGACCCACGGCAGCCCAGCTCCAGGTTGAGCTGCTGCCCAGCATCTCAGCTGTAGAGGGCAGCGTCACTGGCCCTCATATGTGGGATCTGAACCGGGGCCCTCTGGCATCCCAAGCCAGCTCTTAACCAACACGCCACTCGGCCGGCCCAAGAAAGGCTTTTCTTGCAATGGTTAAAAATGTCTTAATGGCTTAGGCCAATTTTAAGCTGCTAGTCTCCTGTGAGAGATCATGTTTGCTGTTCTTCAAAGACAGATTAGTTACAATTAAGCTTGCATTTTAACATATAGCAGAACTTATTTATTCAAAGGACTTCAAAGTGGTTACCCAAGGAGGCACAAAAATGCACCATTGCTTAAAACATTATTAGAATGCTTTTCCTGGACTGCCTACCAGAATATCTCGAGAAAAATTAAAAAAATTTAAAAAAGAATGTCGAGAAAATCAGTGGGACTGAATTACTATGGTGGTCAAACTGTCAGATTGAAAAAGTGAGTTCAATGATGAATTTCTAACGTTGATTTTATCCATCACTCAAAGAACTACCAAGCACACTTTGCAAATGTCATTGGATATCTTTCTTGATTTTTCTAAAGATAGTGGAACTATTAGAACTTGAACCATATCTAGTCTGTGATTAAATCAAGTCTGGGTTTAGTAAAGATGTGCCGGACAGCCAAAGGGTTGAATCCTCCAGCAGACTTTTTTCTTTTAACATGAAAATTAAGAGGATTTTCTTGACTTTTATATGTTCTTGAAGAAAACCACTCACATGTAAAAGTTTCACATTTGGTATGAGATTTATTCATACATTTTCACCCATAAATTCTTTAATTTGGGGGTCAAATTAAATTTTTCATTTTAACGGAACTTTCACATGATTACAGTCACAATTTCTTGTGATAACTATGTCATCATAGGACTCAAGATAAATTAAATTGGTAGAATTTCAGTTGCATCTGATATTGTCCATTAACTGTAGGATAACACAGTACTATATGCTGTAAATCAGACACAGAGGAAGTTATCCATAAAAGAGGTGTAAAACACAGATACAGAAAATATACGAATTATAATGTTGCGTATATGTTTCAATTTATGGAACTGACATATTTTTTAACTCACTAACATATTCTTTATATGATACAAATGCACTAAGGGAGCACACTGTGCTTTTAAAATTCCTTTTTAAAGTTTGAGCTCTGAGCAACAGCGGTTCGAGTCCAGCCCGAGCTGAGCAGCCGCTGAGCTGCCAAAAGGTAGCAGGATGGCTCAGCCAAAATAATAATAATAAAAAATAAATAAATAAAAATAAAATTCCTTTTTAATGTGAAATTCGCCTTAGTTATCCTGTTTTTAAGAGTTCAAGGATTTGAACAGGACCCACCTGCATATACTGGGGGGACTAGTCT